AGGAGTAACTTGACCTAATTTCCAGCGCGACGGATACTGTCCTGTCCTGATCGAGTGATTCATTATTGCAGCAATAGGACCAGCAATCGCGTTGGCAGACTCTTTTACCAGTCGCGGTGGTATTCTGTCATGACCACCGGTTTTGCGGGAGTTGATTTTGAGTAACAACGCTTCCACTTGGGTTTTATTAGTATATTGAAAAGCAAATTTGTTTCTCACAGCGAGCTGTTCATTGTTGTCGAAAATCGCCTGAATGCTAGGGTGCGCAACCAACTCTTTTCCATAACTCTGTTCAGTTATCTCTGGCACGCCGTCCGCGATGTTGACAAAATAACTATTAAAAAGCTCCGCCATTTGTTTTTTGTCTGTTATCACGACATCATGTTCTTTTAATATTATGTCATTTGCTTGCGTGCTTTTCCTTGAATGCAAAAATGGGCGGTATGTGTCCCAAAACTCCCTTGGGTTTTCCGACTCACTTTTCTTGTCGAAGAAAGTTTTAATAGCTTTACGTCTTAGAGAAGTGCAAATGTTCCTTTGTCTCTTGTACAGTTCATAATTAGTATCAGTTCTTTCGCGGATGAAACGTTTCCACAAACGGTTTTTCTGACGAATGGCTTTGCGCCATTGTTCATTCATAAAGGGAACTTGATTTCCCCTTATGCGGACCTGTTTCAAAGGTGCGTGCTCATCAAGAATGTCCTCGTATAGACAATCAAACACGTAGAGTTTATCGTTGACGTCATCAAACATTTCAGCTACTTGGAAAGGAACATTATGCAAATCATGTAGAAAATGCTGTTTATCAAAATTCTTAAGGCTTCTGAATTGTATTTTGCGAGATCGTATTCTCGGTTCCGATGCCCTGAGCATGGCAAACACAAGAGAGTGATCGCTTATGTCAACATGGACTATGCCCGATGACTGTATTTTTCTCAAGTTGTCAGTGAGAAAAAGGTCCAGTAGGGTTTCTGATGTCTTGGTAATACGGGTGGCTTCATGTATCATATTCTTTAAGTCGTAAATATCAAGTAGGTAGGGCATTTCCAGTGTAGTTAAAACTGGGACTTCAAGAGAAGCTGGGAATTAGTTAGGGCTGGATACACCATATGCCTTTCTTAGATGTACACATGTTGCTTTATGACACATCTGCTTTCATGTGGAATGTGAGAGTGTCTTTTTGTGTTGTTTTGTTTTTATATTTTTTTTTGACTACTGCCTTTTATGGAGGCAAAGCCATGATGTTGTCCTGTTGAGTGAGTGTAACAATAGTGTATTTTCAGTTCTTGCTATGACACCACAAAAGATGATAAACATCTCAAAATAATTTCACTGCAGTGTCTGAAGAAAGACTTTTCCTCTCAGAAATATCTAAACAGGTTTGATCTGCACACAGTGGATACTTTGAAGAAAAATTGTATTTATTTGAAAAGAGAACACCTTACCATTTCAATCAGCATCAAATGCTCAAAAGAGCTGTGAATTTGTGAAGGGGGGAAAGGTCCAAAATATGATACCTTGAGTTTACAGTGACCCACAACATGGATTGTCTTGTTGTATGAAACAAAGTCTCACAAAAATGGAATTGCAATGAAATTATTATAAGAAAATAATTTATAATTAACTGGAAAAATCAAAGTTAAAATGAAAAGGAACCTAGTTTATTTATTTATATATTAACTTTGCCAAAAAACAACACTCGAGATGAAAAAGAAAAAAAGAAAGAAAAGAAAAAACTGACAGTCAATAAAAAAAAAAAAGGCAGGGACACTGCAACAGTGTAGCCAATTACAACAGGCCCAGCAGGCCTAGTTAATCATTATTGGAGCCTAATTGATAAGGAACTAGCGAGATTTTGGGATTAGAGTGTTTTAATATTCCGGCTTCACATTTAGGATTAGTAGGGGCTTTGGAATTGGTTGTGAACTAGCAAGATTTTAGGAGTAGAACTTTTAATATCCTTCGCATTATTCTTCACATTTCTATTGTTAATTTCTTTTTTTTTTATCTTCTCCTTCTTTAAAGTTTTTTTTTTTTAGAAAAAAAAACCATTGTTATCATTATTATGATTATTATTGGTAATACGATTATTTGTTACCATTTAATTATTGGTAGAGTGTGAATTAGTCACTATGTTCTTGAATCATCTTTCCCTTGTGAAACAAGACTGACTCCTAAATGTGTGGAAATTATGTGGCAGCAGTAGTCATATGCAGTCTTAACTGCTTATTTTCATTTCAGGTTGTCCATACTGTGATTCTTATTTCCATCCATGTCTTTTCTAGGTTGTTCTGATGATGATTGTTCAGGATTTCATGTCAGATGACATTGCCTCTCCATTGTTTGAACTTATATCAACACTTCTGCAAACATCCTTCACAGATATCTCCAGAGAGAGACACCAGAAACAACTGACATTGAAAGTTTTTAAGACGATAGACAGTCAAGAACAATTGTTTATGTTTTGTAGACGTTTGTTAAAGTGGGAACATTTCCAGAGAGATGTGTTACCTTCTTTGTTGAACTTTTGTCAAGAAGAGCTGATGAAAGGTTCATCTAAAATTCAAGATATTTTACTTATTCTTACAGAGGTCATCTTTCAAAATGCTTCTGCAGATAGTAGTGGACTTGATTTGGCAAGCTTGAAAGGGTTGCTTTTTTTTCCAAAATGTGGCACCAGGCAAGGTGCAAAGATTTTGACAACCATTGTTGATGCCTTATCAATAGACAACAACACAGCTGTAGATAAAAGCAAGCTTTCCTTAACATGGAGTTCTCTTGTGTGCATTCCCTGCATAAGGTATGGCTATTCAGATCTAGATACTTTTACCAGCTTTGTTTATTAGTGAGGTAAGGTCAGACAAACAACCTTGGAAAATTGTAAACAAATTAATAATTTACAGATTAGTCCCTCAGTGGTGTCAATTGTTTTTCATTGTTGGGAAAAGTTTAACACTTCTGGGTTTTTTAATCCTTGTCTGAACTTAGCACAGCTTGATTTTTTCTGCTAGATCAGTGGATAAGTGGGTGAATAAAACAAGAGCTGAAGAGAGCATGCAGTGCAGTACACTGTGTGAATGTGAATTCAAGGGTGGTGGGGTGGGGAGGGGGTGAGGGTTCTTACAAAATTAACAAATGGTAAACACCACAGCGTGCACTATTGAGTTATGGATGCACGTGGGAGGTTGCAAAGCATGAAAGAAGCGTAAGAGTCATGTGAAGCGATAGCCGAGAGTGACCCTAGCTTCTTGAGTGCTTAGCAAACCTCCCAAGTGCATTCATAACTCAATAGTGTACACTGTGGCAATTACCATTTGTTTTATAACATGACATTGATACACTGTAGCAAAAGAGTTTTCTAGTCTTTGCATTTGGTCACGTCAGCAGCGTACACCCATGGGCAAGTGGTGGATGCTGAACTGACCAATCAGGGCTCGCGCTTTACTTTGGTTATGTTATAATGTACTTTGTAGCTCCTCCCATACCTAAGAATGTCCATAAAGTATCAAACAATGTAGTTGTGGTCAGACTATCCTACATTTACTCCAAGTCAAAACATTCTTTCAGAAATACAATGTTGGTTTGCAAGCTTTTTCATTGTAAGACCTTTGTGCTGTAGAGATGAACTCCATCTGATAGACTGTAGTCCAGTATTTAATGACTGTTTCGTTGAGGTGACAACCTTGTTCTTGCTGTTTAGTCCCTTAGATGTTGTTCAGTGTTGTGACAAGTTCTTGAGTTTCATTCGCATCTTCAGTAAAGACTTGCTGGCAAATGTGAGTGCAGAGGGCACTGCACAGCGCTTGAGTGTTTTAGGACAGGCAATTCAGTCGTACAGTTTAATTGTGGCTGATGCAGAGGACATTGGGAAGAATTTGACCTTGGAGTTCATAGAAACACTTCTCAGGTAAACGTTACTTGTCCTCCCAAATCCCTGCCGTATTGTAGTATTGTATTTTTGTTCTTTAGTACATCCATATACTTCTACATGTGGTTTGAAAGAGATAATGGAGCCTAATATTCACCGCCATAAGTAAGGACGTATGTTTAAAATATGGATCTATCAACAAAGTTGAAATGGTAAAATGGCCACCGTAACGATTACAAAAGCTGACGTTTCGAGCTTTAGCCCTTCGTCGGAGCGAATAGAGGAATTGTGGGTTGTGTGTGCTTTTAAAGGCAGAAAATGGAGCTACGTGATTGGTGAGAACATGGCAACGAGAAAAACACGAGTAAATTAGTGGAATTTATTCGCTTTTCATTCCACTAATTTATTCGTATTTTTCTCGTTGCCATGTTCCCACCAATCCCTTAGCTCCATTTTCTGCCTTTAAAAGCACACACAACCCACAATTCCTCTATTCGCTTCGACGAAGGGCTAACGCTCGAAACGTCGGCCAATTTACCATTGGTAAAACGGTGGCCAATTTACCATTTCAACTTTGTTGATATATCCTAATTTCGTTGCCCCCACTGACGCAGCCCCAAACAGTTTCTTTAGAAACTATCAGCCTTTATGTTTAAAATGCACTAGTTAACATAGCACATTCAGGCCCAGGCTTGTGCATTTGTTTTAAATTGTATTTTCTCTGGGATATTCCAATTCTTGACTTGTATATTTGTTGATCCCCGGTATGTTTTGAATTATAAGACTATGAAGTACCTTCTAACCAGTGGCTCTTTGTCCAGATCATGGCCCAACAATGTTCACATTCTGCAAGCTTGTCACAAACTTACAGCAGCCTTGACGCAGCATGGCCTGGAAAGGATCCTAGTTGAACAAAATCTTCAGCAGATATTTCCTTACCTCCGGCTCAATCTGTGCTCTTCAAGTCACCTTGTGCGTCTTCTCACTCTTAAGATTTTGGCAAGTTTTGAGCAGCTTGAAAGGAGTTCATCAAGCAACAAGGTTCAGTACCCCATCAACATTTGATGAATATCATTTTAGTACCTATAGCTAGCTGTTTTACTTTAACTCTTGAAAGGTCCTGTCAGAAGCATGCTACAACTCTGTAATTGGAGAGGGATTGTGGGTGAATAATCTTTCGATAGACAGAAGAGCATTTAATCCAGTGAAAGTAGGGATAAAAGTGTACGTACTCCCAGTGACTGAGTCGAAGGGTTTTGAGGACAAGTTTCCCAAAAGGCATCTCGCCCGAAGTCACTAGCGAGATACTCTGGTTTCGGGCGAGATGACTTTCGGGCGACTGGACCGGTAACTAGATGTAGACGTACACCTGTAACCTCATAATATGTTGGGACGTTTTTTCTTGAATAAATTATTACCTTAAATTACAAGGAAATCGTGAAACAGTAGTAAAGTAGGTAGAGAAAACAACAACAAGGTGAACGCAGACAATTAAGGAACAAGGTTGATTGACAGTGGAGACGGTGAACAGTGGTTTCCCATAGCGAACTTGAATAATCTTTCAACGGCAACAAGTATGTGCGTCCCACAAAGAACTTCTGTTTTTCTTTTCGTTTGCTCCCTGACTCTTAGAAGCCCTCGTTATTTAAAATGTGTCTCGCCTCTGAGGAACTTCCAACACGTTTGGAAACGTACAGAGACAAGCTGGTGTGTCTGCAGAAAATCCGTTTCTCCTCGGCGTTTTACGATGAGCTGGCAGATTTCTACAGAGATGCTGCTGTGCTTTACTTGTGCGGAATGCTTTCTGTGAACTTCAGTCCCCTATGGGATCCAGTGATCGACATTATATCAAGTTTTGCTCAAGGCTCGAATGTAAAACACTTCTGGAGAATATACAGTGAGCTGCTTCACACAGCGTCTGACCAAACAGGTGCGTGTTTTACGTACAGTGTAGAATTGCAGGTGTATTTTTATTGAACCTTTAACTCTCTGTGAAGTTGTCGTTTTGTGGCAAGATTTTTGTGTCAAGACGGTGAATTACGTCTGGTGACGTTAGATGAGAGCTAATGACGGTGATTGATGTGTACTAAAGGTAAAGTATGTTTTTTAACGATGAAACATGTATGATGAATGATAAGTGAATGATGTTTAGTGACGTTCAATGATGTTTAGGGACGTTTAATGATGTTCAGTGCTAATGAATGACGTCTAATGGCGGTATGTAATGTGACGATGCGCGATGTCTAATAAAGGTGAATAATTTGTAGTGAGGGTGATAGATGTGCAATAACAGTAAATCGAGTCAAGTGACGGTGAATGGTAACGAATGATAATGAATGATGGCTTGTGACGTTGTAAGATGCAAAGTTGCGCTCTTGTGGCAGTGCGTGGTGTGAGATAACTGTGATTTATGTCTAGTGACGGCGTTTGGTCTGTGATGATAAGGAATGATGTCCAGTGCGTTTAAAGATGCCAAGTGACGCTTAGTGAGGTGTTTAGAGAGAAAAAAATGTTCTTTTCCTTCTTGACTCTGCAGTCTCTCTGTACTTTCCCTTCACTGAGCTTCCTCTGCCTATGTACATGTACATTGTAACAACGATAACAACGAAATAATTTACTTTTCAGAAGAAAAGCTTGAAGAAGAAATGGTTACAGGTAGCAGTGAACAACTAGAAATTGAGAATGGTGAACAAGAGGACAGTAATTCGAAGAAGTGCCTTGATGAAATATTTGAGAACCACAACAAGGCCTCACTGGGTTCACGAGAGGAGAACAGAGGAGACCCTGTTAACTTCCGTCATCTGCTGTGGAAAGCAATGGCTTCATTTCCGGAAGTCGCCGAGCGGAAGTCACGGGATGTGGTACCGCTGTTTCTTCGATTTGTTAGGTAAATACTTCTTTTTTCAGAGAAGGATGAAGAATGAATCTAGTGGGTGGCAGTTCATCAATTGTTTTCAGTCTCGACGATTATTTTGGGTGGTCGTATATTTCAGTTGTTTATAAGCTACAGGTAATCAATGATTTTAGATAAATTGTTCCAGAGTTTCACTTAGAGTTTCTCCTGTCTTCTCTGAACCCACAGAAATAAACTTCGTTTCATGATGCCCTATCGATGGTGTAGAACTGTTTTCATAGAATTTAACTGGTCTGGACCCTGACTTCGGTCACTGTCTATGCATCGAATGGTTCCGTCCTAAGAACTAACCGAGCTAGTTTCGCCGAACTTGCCCTTTTCATTTTAGTACCCCGAGTCATATGAAATACTCGCAAAATACACAGGAGCTAAAGGTCCGGTTTATACATGTAGTAGACAAAGTTGCCAAAGACTGAATCCTAATCCTTTTGGCAATGAATACACGAAGGACAACATAACTCGTGCACACTGGCTGGTGAAAAATGGGCTTTCGCTTTCTGTTTTTGGCAGGAAGAACCAGTTTTTGCAAACGGGCTGGACCTAAAAATTGAAAAAGTGCCCTTCAGTTTAACCAAACAGCACATTTAGTCCCTTATGCAAGTGTCCGTTTTTGCTGTATTGTAAGACGTATCAAGTTGGTTTATTTTCCGCTCTATCACAGCAACGAATATTTTGTGGCGATGGAAAACGTTGCTCCTTTGCAAGACATCCGAGTTCAGCACCTTTCTGAACCACCAGGCACCGCGGCAGAGTTTGATCGGACAGACTCCATGGAGACGGAAGCAAATCTCACTAATTCCGAACCACAAGGAAATTTGCACAAAAAGAGACACAAGGCAGCCACAAAGTCTCTTTGTATTCATCTGAGCCTCTTCACAGCTTTCAAGAACCCGAAAGCTCTTTTCAAAGAACCCCAGTTGAGGGAGTTTTACTTGAGATTCTTAACTCACAGGGAGGCTGAAGTACAAAAGCTTGCAGTGCAGTGCCTGTGGACTTATAAGTTTGATTATCTTGAGCCATACAAAGAGGCTATCGAGCGCTTATTAGGCGATGAGAACTTTCGTGATGAGATGGCGCACTTTTCAGTGGACGAGGATAGCGGCATTGTGATGAAAAGTCATCGAGAAGGACTAATGCCAGTTCTTATAAGGTTCGTAGTTTCAAGTTTTGGTAGCCAAATGCTTATGTTTCGCTTTTCGTTTAAAGCCATGGTGTGTACACACCGTTTACTCTTAACCACCCGTCAGGGAATTTCGCTCTTTTTCCCCTGTCGAAGAGCCACACTTGTTGACAACAGTAAATTTTTAATGATGAATCTCACGTTGATAACAAAACATGCGCTGTTTTTTCCCTCTGAAGCTGCAAAACAGCTTTAGTCACTATATCTCATGTATTTGACGATAGGCGATAATTTTTACGCGCTCTTTTTAGCAAACGCTTGACTGCGACACGCTTTTTTCTCATACCTAGGCTCTTGTACGGCAAGATGCAAAGACTGACTGGTACAGGAAGTGGCGGACGAGCAGGCGTGGGAGTGAGGCGAGCTGTCGTGCTGAGGTTCATGGCGTCTTGTCCTCAGCAAGAGATAAAAATTTTCATGGACCTGATTTTTGCTCCATTTAAACACCTTTGTAGTGGTAAATAGATCGAATCTCTTTATCATAGGCCTAGATGTAGGTGGCTTTATGTATTTACCAGACCTGCTCATGTCGCAAGTTTTGGTCTGAAGATGAGCTTATTGGTTCTACTCCTTTGTCGCACTAAGGTGGGAAAAAAATTTGTTTTGGCGAAGGGCAAGCTTTTGAAAATTCGCTACGGTAGTGTATCGACATTTATTGTGTAGTTATTTATGAAATACCAGAACTCCTGTTTCAAAATCATTATATCTTCCCCACGCAATTTACTGTTTCAATATCTGCTATCTGTTCTCTTTTGACTGATAGTCAAGTCGGCGTTCGATATTATAGTCTCTTTCAACTTTAAAATAGCTTGGCATTTCGCCAAGATTGCCCCAATATATCAAAATATTTCCAGAGTTACTTGTTTACTTTTGATTGTTTATTTCAGAAGATGATGCAAGTGCGATTGTTACCGTGTCAACAGAACTCTCGCGTGTTGTTCCTCTAAAGAAACAGCAAGGTTTTCTGGGAATGGTGTCACAAATCCTGGATAAACTGGGTAACCTGGCGACGTCATTTCTTCCTTCCATTCTGAAAATTATCCTCTCGCTGCTCTCGACGTGTGTATTTGCTCTGGAACATCGTGAAAAGGTTTGTTGCCCCTGGGGAATAAAGGAAACAATGTGTAGTTTCTAGCAAGGAAGTTGCTTCTTGGGGGTAAAGACGCTCTTGAATAAGGGTATAAAACCGTTAAACTACACTTACGTTGATCTATGGCAGTAAGCACTCTTGCTAGTTTGCGTGACAATTTGATTCCGTGTTGCCAGCCGAACTTTGAAGCCTATTTTGTAGCGTTTTGATCCATATGTTTAAAAGAAATACCAAAGATAGCTAAGTATGCGGCAAGTAATCAGTTTTCAGTGAGGAAGCCATTCCAAAACTATCGAGAAGCACTTTACCCTCAATCGAACCCAGTTCCCTCTCCATTCATGACCATTCTGCCACTTTCTGAATCTGCATCACTTGGCGCTGCCTTAAGATAGTTTACTAATACAGTTTATAAGGGGCCAGGTATACAAGTTTTTTTCTCACTTAGCTTTTCCTATCTTTTAGGTACAACCATCGTTTATCTCGCAGCTGAAAACAATTCGACAGATGGCCATCATGCGCTTGACGGAATTTTTTGAATCTATGGCCGATTATGACTTCAAACCCATTTGTGATGCGTTATTCTCGTCTGCCCTATGGCCTCAGGTAGAGTCTTGCTCAAGGCACAAATAAAATGCTATTGACTTCGCACTTTTTAAATGTTTGGGGGGAGGGGCACTTCAGCATTGGTTTTCTCTTGCGCTTCATATCTGTAGTTTCACCCCTTTGCAAGTTCGACTCCCTTTACGTAGAGTTCGCCCCCAAATATTTTAATTCCTCTCTTTACGATAGAGTATGTCCCTTTACTAACAAAGCATAATTTATGAACTTCATATTCATAATATAACTTCACATTCATAATATATGAACTTCATATATTCATTGTATCTAAAGCATAATTTATCGCCATCAAAATGCAAATTGATTATGAAACTACGGGAAAGTTCGCTTTGCTAAGTCATGCGCGACTGCACAAGGAATTCGAAGCCTTTATAAGACACCGGCCTTTATGTAAGTGGTTTGACGTCATTGCCACTAGTCCCTTATCTTAACGTGAGCTGGAAAACAGGTCGGTTGTAGGAAACCTCAAAGCTTGATGCAGTCAGTTTTCAAGCGGACTACAGGGCGTACAAATTGACAGTTTCTACAACATCGATTTCTTTTTCAGATAGAGAAATTAAATCAAGAGAGCATTCAACACCCAACTCCATTGCTCAAGCTCTTGTTCGCTTGGTCCAAGAGTAATCGTTTGTTTCCCTTGCTGTCAAGAAAACCAGTCGAGAAGCCCCACCTTTCCATCATGTCATGTGTGTTTGCGTGTCTACACGTCCCGTCAGTATCAGCAGAAGTAGTTGCCATGGTAATGGAAATGACGGACAATCTTCTTGTCGCTAGACAACCAGATGCGGATGATGAAGAAAGTGATTTGATGGATTGTGGCTCTGAAGTGGGGTGAGATCGATATTATTAGTCAGTTTTTATTATTTTAATCTTTCTGACCAACATATCCTAGCGTACGGAACAGTCTCTTCTTTTTTCCTTTCTCCACACGCGCGAAACGCTAGCTGAAAATTTTTCCTGAAGGAAAAAAGCGAGAGGGCACACTTCTCATTTTTTGTGTGTGTGTGTGTTTTTTTGGCTCGTGCCCACAGAAGACTCTCGCTTAGGTAAAGGGAAACCATAAAGACTGCTACCCGGGCTAAAGCTAGTCTCGCAAAACAGGTCTCTTGTGGGTTTTAGAATAACTCAATGGCTTTGTCAAAGTGAGTTAGTACCGGAATCATTTTCAGCAAGAAGTTAACCAATTGAATGAAGAAATCAACTGCTTTAACTTTTTAAGCTGGAAATTTGCTCCTTACTCCAAGCATTTCCTACTACGGCTAACTTTCTACTAAATCTTTGTGCCGGTTTGGAGTCAAGTGTAGCTTTAACCTCCTCTATTTCCCTCTTTCAGAAAACTTTCGAGCTACGAGTTTGTCGAAAGAAGGCCCAGTTACGGAACATTGTTGGTTCTGCCACACCTCTCGGCGCTCTTGGAATATTTGAGCCGATCCGTACAACAAGCCATCGACAGTTCTAAAGGAAAGAATCGAGGAAAAGATATGCTTCCCCAAAGAGAGCTTTCAGTGTTGTCTAAAATAAGTCCGTTTGTGAAAGACGCCAACGAATCTTCTATTCTGATTGAGGTGCTTCTGCCTTTCATGAGCAGCTATCAAAAAGAAGAGACGGCAAACAATATTCTAAAAACTGTTAAAAGTCTTTTGGCGAACGTTGGCACTTCAAGAAACTTTGTTTCGTCGTTATCGAAGCTTTTCTCGCAAATAAACGTTCGTAGAACGAGGCAGTGTCTATGTGAATTGTTCCTTGAACTGGGTAACATGGATTCAACTTTCTCTTCCGAGAGTTGCGACATTCTTGCTGATTTAAAATCCTGGAATCCTCAACGCCTCGAGGAGCCTGATTATGATAGAAGACTCACCGGCTTTGCAAATGCAAAGCGTTTGATTGGACAAGATGCCCTGAAAACTGAAGAGATTTTACCAATACTGCACAACTGCATTTACTTTGTTTTATGCAGCGATGATATGTCTATTAGAGACAGTGCTGGCAGCTGTATGAGCTGCATCGTGCATAATGTTGTCCAGCGGAGTGGAGTAGACGATGAGCGATTTCATGGTCTTATTATCAAGTGTCTGCTACCCGCTCTCAAAAGGGTTCTTGCATCAAAGAAAGAGGTAGATTGGTTGAACTTTCTCACTTGTTATTTTTGAAACCATGGGAAACACAGTGGTGTTATGGTTAGCGCACTGTATTCCAGTCGACAGATCTTTCGCAGGTTGGAGCTATGAACGGTGTCCTTGTCCTCGTACGTTTTCTGGGCTAGACCCTTTACTCGCGCTCTATTCCTCTCTCTCCCCCTCTACCCCCCTCCCCCAGAATTTTGGGCTGTCAGTAAAAGTAAGTTAAAGTGAAGAAGTTCTATAAAAACAGGAATGGGGAAATCTAACACGGATTAGCATCCCTTCCACTGTCAATATTAGTAGTCATAGTTGCTATGGAAAGTACGTTAAATTCTAGTATTGTGGGCTGCCAGGCTTGTTTGGAAGACCTAGCTATTATTTAAAATCTAATTCTTCAGAATTTTTTTCAACAATTTTCTTTCTTTTAATAATAACAGTAAGTATCCAACTGAAACTAAACGTTTAATGTAATTCTCTGTCCTTAGCTTGCCAGAAACGAATTTCTAAGCGTACTTTCAACGATGGTCCGTCAATTTGAACACGAGTCCTTCTCAGACCTTAAGGTTCTCTTGGACGATGATCTCGAGAAAGACTTTTTTGAAAACATCAAACACATTCAGGTGAGGGAAAATGTAAAGTAGGACCTCTCCACTTGGACACCTATTTTGAGTCCTCGGCATGCACTAAACGAGGGACACATTCCTTGTTGTTTCGGACTGTTTTCTTATCCTCAGTTTCGTTTTGGTGTATAGTACGTTATGTCTCACATCAATTGAAAGATTACAAGGAACAGACCATTTTAAATGAAATTTGGGACGTGTGTGCACTGTGTATCAAAACCTTTTTGCTTACCTTTCGTTTAGAATCTCGTTGAGGACTGGCATTCTGTGAGAGTGTTTTGATTTTGAAAGGAGGGATGAGCAGTAATTGCTATGAACTCATCTTCGCTTCTGTATCTTTGGCATTCGAGAGATCCAGGGATAAAACAAATGACATTACAGTTCGGTCTTTGAGAGAGTAAGTGTTCAAGAGCAGAACACTGAAATCTATTTCTGATTTGAACTGAAAATTGAGGGGGAAAGGCTTATTTAAAGGTGAAAATGATCTGTTGAGATTTGAAGATGTATTGCTGCCGTGTTTCTTGTTTTTCAGCTTCATCGTCGTATTCGTGCCCTACGTCGCCTGCAGTCACATTGTCAGCAGCATAGCCTCAGAACCACAACCCTGACAGCTTTCCTCTTGCCATTAGTAACACACTGTGTTTTTGATCACACCGCTGCGAAGGAGCATAATCTTGTGACCGAGGCTGTCACCACTATTGGAACAATATCGGCCAGTTTACCCTGGTCCAAGTATAGATCCCTCCTAAGACACTATCTGAAACTGTTACCTGTTGAAAAAACTTTTCAGAAAGTGATTGTCAGGTATGCAGTGTATATTTTAGGATTTATGTCATTATCTCTTAGCAGCAACGCACGTATCCCTCACCTGACCCAACAACAGTCAACTGAGGTTAACAAGTGAGGTCTAATGTTGGCTCAGGGGAGGGGAGGAGAGGGGA